CAGCCTGCTATGCTAAGTGTGCTGGTGCTTCACCTGCAGATGGAAGAGGGACAAAATCTCACTGCGTTTATAGTTTCCCTTTCATGTGCTAAGAATTAAGAACGGTTTAAAACTGTCCACAGGAAATATTCTGAAATATTTTCTGACCCATCCTGGTCTCAGGGGATTAAAGAGCTGTGTAATATTTGAGTTTTGTAAAATATTTGTTTTAGATGATTTTAAAAAATAATTATTGTTTTATGTATTTATAGTAGTATGAATCACTTGGCAATTGCGTTATTGCACAGTAGTGAAAACCTTATTTGATTTATTCTTTTACAGACCTTCTTGTTGAACTTTTATTAAAATAACTCAAAGTATAATAGTCAAATATAAAAGCAAACACACAGTAAAATAATTCAGCAATGTAATGAGCTATTAGAATTTGATGAAAATTAATCTACTTTACAAATGTACAAATGTTACTGACTAAAAAATATAATAAACATTAATATTAAAAAATATGTTTTGATACAAATTATAAAATTAATATATAATCCAAATAAAATGTAAATAATACATAGATAATAGAAAGTAATTGGGTCAGTTGTTATAACTAATGATTCTAAGAAAAAAGGAGTATTAGTAAAAGTAGTACTGCCACCACATACTCAATACTTGTATTTAACATTTTGACAAAGTATTTAATTAATTCTAGTCAGTAACATGAAGTCGGGTCTGTTGTAGCCCAAAGCAGTCTGAAAACACAGCTAATGCTGGTAGGACTGTCGTCTTTTATTGATGACTGTGATGTGGGGAACGTCGATGTGGTTTGGCTGTATTTGTTTCTCTAATTAGACACTCAGTGTTTGAACTTTAGCTGGTTAAGGAGATTTGTTGTATTGCAGACGTCGGTCCAGTGAACATGCTATACTTTTTCACTGACTAGACACTGCTGCTGCTCTCCTCCTCTTATGCCTCTTCTACTCACTATGACTTTTTAAAACACCACAACCAGGATACACCCATGACTTTAGCCTTGTCGGGTGTGTGTCGACTTACGCTGGAGTTTGGTAACTGTACATGAGTACCTGTACCATTCAGCTATGCTAACACAGTGGTAACATCAAAATCTAGGACATAAAAACATCAGAAGAGTCTGACATAATGAAGGGCTAAAAGTTCCCAACGTGTAGCCCAACCAATGTACACCGTTCAACCAACATATGTAAACAACGACACGGCAGCATCAGTCATCCTTGTCTCAGTCATTTAGAGCATTGTTTCCCAAAGCCTGGGTCACGACCCTCAGGCAGGTCGCATTTTGTTTTGGGGGGGGGGGTCATCTCGCATCATGTTTCCAAGGAGTTTACGAATAATGTCTATTGACTTGGGTCACGAAGATTTGTGACTTTTAAAATATGTGTCCCCAGAAAAAAAAGTTTGGGAAACACAGATTTAGAGCCAAGATATCGTGAAGGAATGACAGATAAGGCGTCAATCAAAAAGGCGTTTACAGGTATTTCTTCAATTTGAACTCTATCTTGTAAATCTTCTCGAGAAACTGGCTATTCCAAAATAAAACTGCAAATTATCTGGGAAGACGCAACAGTCCCCTGAAGCTTTCAGAGATCAGTGAGGCAATACAACCTATGAATTGTTGCATATCACCTGGACCGGATGAATACTATAAAATAAATTGAGATCACTGTAATGTGAAATATTTAATAACTCACACTGCCGTTGTTCTCTTTCTTTTCACGCTCACACAAGCTTTCATTTCCTAAATTTTAAAGACAGGAAATGACCCTTTAACCTGGGCATTGTATCTCCCCATTGCCATTAATGGTAGTTTTTGACTACGGCCCTGGCTGAGTTTGGAGTGAATCAATCCCCTAAGATGAACGTCAGGGTTCCAGATATGATTTGTTAAAAGGAGGAAACTCTTTCTTTCATATCAAACTTCTCTTTGTCACTTAAAACTGTTTCTCCCAAAGAACTGAGGAAAAGTTTCTGACAGAATAGAAGGATTGTACTTCATTTACACTCTGAAACTCCCCATTACCTGGCAATGGTTCCACTATAACTGCTATTTGCAGTAGCCATTGGTCCACTGTCAGTTACCAATAATAAAGCAAAAAACTTGAAGTATATAACTTAAAGGCAAGTAGTAGGGTCACGTTGAGAAAAATAAATACAACTTATGAGGATAAAGTTGTAAATTTTATGAGGATACAGTCGAAACGGTACAAGAAAAAAACTCTTTGACGTTTGGAAAGTGGTTTAAACAAAGCTCCTTATTTTATATCTTTGACGTTTGGAAAGTGGTTTAAACATGGTTTTGAATTTAAGCTCCTTATTTTATATAAAAAAAATATTTTTACAAATTTACAAACACAATTGTAAATTAGTAAACTGAAAAGCGGACACTGGATTACAAATGACACAATATATATGTAAAAAACTCAGTCAATGGAAAAGCGGACACTGGATTACAAATGACCATTGACAATGAGGAAAGGCATGGCTTAAGGATTAGATACACAATATATATGTAAAAAAGTCAGTCAATCTTATCATCTTTTCATTCATCCCATTATGTGTTTTTAGGTCTTTTTACACCTTAAATCATAAATTGCAGTATATACTGCTACAGTCAGTGTTATAAAATGAAACCATGATATGAATATGACTGAAGGTAATTGTAAACCAGACCTTTTTTTTTTAGAAATTATATTGCTTCATTAATTGGGCTAAAAATGTATTGATTTAAAGGCTCTTTAAATTATAGTGCAGTAGAGTGTAAAAAGTGAGGACTCGTGGCTGTAGTTTAGAAGGTTCTGATTACCTTCTTTTTCAAGCTGAGGTTAATGGCATATAGATGCGCAGCTCTGAGCCAAAGTGTAATAAAAAAAGATAATGTGAGTATCTACGCCTTCACGCCATGATGTGTATGTGTGTGTGTGCATGTGTGTGTGGTTTATATAGATTGAGATGTGCCCCGTCAGCCAATGTGAATTCATTAGTTATACTAATTGGTGCCTCTCTGTTGGAGTATCTCTGTCCCTAATAGCACACTTTGCCTTCACTTTCATTTATCTTATCTTCTCTCTTCATGCCCTCACATTTTTACTGAGCACTTTTCCCTTTTATCCTCTTCCCACTATTGAACTTCTCTCCCATCTGCCCTCACAGCTGCGGTTTTTGACCTTCACACATACAGTATTTACCTCTTTTCTTCCGAGCTCTGGAATCAAGTACCTGAATACCGCAGATGCAGCCGTCTGCCGGGACGGAGGTCGGAAATAGGAGATCACTGGAACAGAACACTCTCCGGCAAATTCTTCTTATGAATAATAATGCTCTCAGCGATTTCACTCTAGATAAGACCTACAGTTTCTGATAAGGTTATGAAGTATGAAAGTCAACATCCAACGTTCCTCTCTGTACGCTCTGCAGTGATTGGCTGAGGGCCTATCCGGGTTTTACCTTA